GTAATACACTGCATAATATAGCAAAGCATATTACAAACAAAGTTTAATTTGTTCTTCAGTTTTGTGTAATAAAAGGTTTTGGTAATTTCTCCCCACCTGCCAATTGAATTTTGGAATCTCACCAACCTTAAATATATGGAAATGTTGAGACATAGCTCTGTCGCTGGAGCTCAGGGAGCAGGGAGGAGGTAGAGGAGTCAGGAATGAAGAAGTGAAGGTGAGCCTGGGATAAATGGGCAGGAGGGGGAAGGCGTGTTAGTTGTCTTTGTCTCTCGGTATCCAAATCTATTTTAGTTGGTGATAAATTAATTCCCCAAGACAAGTGTGTTTCTCCCCTGATGGTAATTGTTAAGTGATCCATGAGCTTTTTCATCCTGTTTTCTCACCCTGTCCTGTTGAGGGGGGAGTGAGAGAGCATCTGGGTGGGTGTCTGGCTGCAGTCCAAAGTTAACCCACCACGGCTTCACTGGGTTTCAGAGCAGAGCCTATTTAAAACTTCTTTGCTGTTTGAGAGCAGGGGTGCCTCAAGGCTTCTCAGCAACATAGGTAAAATTTACCTTTGGTATCAAAAAGGTGAGGAAGCTCAGGGCAATGCTGCGCCTGTCTCAGGGAAGACAGATGTAAAGGCAGAATTAGGATGCCTGAAAGGGGAAGAGGAAGGTTTCTGGGCCTGCACATCCTGCTGCAAAATTGGGAGGAGGAGTGCAAAAAAAAGCAATGGCAAAAAATGGGGAAAGAGCGAGCCTCAGCCTCAGCAGTATCAGTGGCTTGACACCCCCCACCTCTCCCCTTGGCAGCAGCAGCAGCCCAGGGCTGCCAGGCTCTGGCACAGGCACTGCTGGCAGCGAGGCCACCCGTTCCACGTTTTACCCATTCCACTAACTGTTCAAACCACCATTTTCTCAGGGACATCTGTGGTGCTATACATCACTAAATTGGCACATCAACAGCAAATAAATTAAAGTTTTGACATCATATTTAGGTTGCATATCCTTTGTAGCACTTACCATACGTCTTACTCCTCCGAACTCCTACTGCTCATTAAATATTTAAAGCTGAGTTTGTTCTATCCACCACTTGTTTGCAGATGCAGGTTCTCTGAACTGCTAGCTCCTTGAGGTAGTAACCATGTGTGTACTTTATAATTTTAGTATCTTTAGTTCAATGAATTTCTTATCCTGATTGGAGCTTTTGGGTAAAATGGCAATATGTAATTTAAGTGCAATACAATGATTTTCAGCCACATGTCCCCAGGGTGTGTGAGGCCCATAGTCACACAACCTACATCCCACTTAATGTTTTCTGTTAGCTAGGTATCACAAAAGTCTTAGGACAGTAAATAGACAATACTCAAGAACTTGTATGAAACCTAGGCTATGAAAATTTGGGCTTAAGCATGTAAGAAAAATCTACACCAAATCTTGGAGATATATCTGTGCTTCACTCCAGGTCCCTGCTCTATGAAAACATTTAACTATGCACATAAAGTACAAAAGTAATGTAAGTGGAGACAATAGGACAGTCCACATATTTGAACAAAACCATATGCTTAAGTCACTGTTTGGAGCAGAGCCTTAAATTGCAGGCACCTTGTGTTACTAAGTTTGTCTCCATGCAATTATTTTATCCCCATTCATTTATTTCTGCATATTTACAGCAAGAATTTTAGTTACATACAGAAATTAAGTACTCTCGGACAAAAAATCCTACATTCTCTCATGGTGCAGACAGACTAATTCAACTAACAATTGTAAGGCTACCGAAGTTTTATGTTTGGAGTACCACATGCAGGGCAAAACCACTCAACTCTGATCAATCCTGTTGGTTGCGTGCAAGTTTCTCAAAAAACCACAACCTTGCAACAATCATTTTTGAAGCCTCCTCAGAGTTCTCTCTTCTGTACACACCACTACTAACTCTTGCAGGAATGGTTTGCTTGTGACTTCACAGGTAAAGCCTAATGGTCAGATCACAAGTACTGTTATTTCCTTTTAGACTACTGATGACAAGACATTTAATTTTCACTGGGCAACTAATAAACCTAAGATGACAGGGATACTGCTTTTAAGTACCACCACACATAAGAGGACAGTTCAGCCTGTTAAAACAGACGTCACCAAGTCATCCTACCAAAGCTGCACACTACATCAAAATTGGAGGCACATATCCCCTCCCCCAGTTTATATTTAGAGTTCTTTCTAAAAAAATGCCTTTTTTGTAGAGTAACTTAGGGAGAACTGAAAGAAGAACCACTGATTAGCAAACTTTTGCGGAAAATGAGATGTTATCTGAAAGGAGGAGAAAGAATAATCACGTGGCTCCCTGTATCTGCACAATTTTTCCTCAAACTTCTCTATTTCACATTTCATTTTGTTTTCCTTTTGCTATTGGTGACCTTTAGGGTAAAGGTAACTTTGTAGTAACTGTAATAATACATAACTGTATAATAAAATAATAATAATAATAATAACTAATAGTTTTGTAATATATTATCCTGTTCATAAAAATGCCAGTGACTGACAATTTTACATGCAATTTTTTCTTACATATTCTACATCTTTCCTAAACAATGCTAACCACTAAAGACGTTATCAGACTTTCTCAAAAGTCCCTGTAGAGTTCTGTGCAGAAATAAGATTGCTGTGTCACTTAAAGTGTTAGTACCTTCTCACATGGGATTTCATCATCATCTAGGACATCAGTCTCTTAACATGTTATCATTATTTGTTAATTTTGTTAGCAAACAGTGAGATACACATGGTAAACTGTGGGAGAATAATGTTAAAGCCATTGTCCTTGGATTATACTTCAATGAAGCAGCCATTGTGTAACATTGTTTAAAGATCATTACATAAAGTATAACCACTTTACTACTAGCATTTAATTTGCATCAATAGATGAGATACAGGTGAAGTGGTAGAAGTGAAAGTGGTTATTTTATTTATAAATAAAATTCGGTAACATTGCTTACATAAAGTCTTTAAGTGCCTATACAATTTCAACCATTTATACATAGGAACAGCACCCAAAATGAGAAGTTAGATTACTTATCACCCATAAATATACTTTGCTGCAAGTTTCTTCATGTTGTTATTGTTCTCCAAACGTGGCATTCTTTGGGGATAGGAAGGAGAAACTCCTCAAGTGTGCAAGTGCCTAAATACCATAGCCACATGGTGTCATTGTAGTAGAGGGAGGCCAGGCTAAGCGTAATACGAGTAGCTGGTCTTCCGCAGCAGTTAATTAGGAAAATGACTACAGGCTATCTTGAAAAAAGGTTCTCTGTAGTTATAATTTATAATGAGGTTACAAGGAACGCATTCTCTTAATTCCCTCCCTTACAGTCCTAGTCACAATCTGAATTGGAGCAAAATGCCTGTATTTTTAATAATAAATGCCTTGAGCTTTGCTGCTCCACTAGTCTGGAGCTCTGCTAGTAGCGTGCACACCTACTGAAACTGCAGTTACAAACCTGCATTTAAGTTTTGTAGTGTTATATATATGTAAACTATTAGAAGAAAAGCAAAGTTTGAGATGATAGCTGATGGCTTGAACCTGTAAGCTTTTCTCCTCCCTGAACGACAGCCAGGGAGACAGTGAGGGAATGACTGACTCATTACAAATATTCTTCCCCAAGAGGCAGTAGAAAGTCTGAATAAACATGATTTCCAAAACAAACCCAGTTACTGTTGTTTTTTTAGCCCAGCCCAGCACACCACCATTACAGGGAGGCCGGGTGGACAGCAGAGCAAGGCTGAAGAGGGCTTTCAGAGCAGATGGATTACTGGTGACCACCTTTTGTGAACGGGCCACCTTTTCCAACAGACACCAGGCACCAGAAGAGAATAGTTGAGTCCAACCCTTTTCCTGCACTCTGTATAGCTTTATTACCCCCAGTGTTTGAAAAATATCATAATTGAAAAACCAAACTCTGACACCTCCTGGTCAAGTACTTTCCTTATTTTCTAGCGTTGAAATCTTTGCATTTGCTATCTTGCGGCTTCAGGATTAGATGGCAGTCAAAATTCTGGATGTAGAAAAACCAGTGAAAAGCTTTGGCATCTGAGGTTATTCCTCAGTGATTCTGAATGAATTTGACAGTACACAACACACACTTATGTTAATATATTCAGAGAGGCCAGGCTTCTAAATTTTTGCAGCTGTTTCAGTGACTTCAGTTGAAGGAATTCCATTGTCTAAAATACCCAAATGGAAATAAAGTACCCTTTCACGCCTGCAGTAGTATTAGCTGTTTACATTCATTTGCAAACAGTAACACCAACCCCAGTTAGACAACCAGTTTAACTTAGGAGCACAGGTCTGACATACTGAAATAGCGTCAGTCAGCACACATTTCCTTTACCACCTTCCTAAAGGAATAAAACTTACCAAGTTGCACTGCAACAGCTCCTTGATAGACGAGTTTATTGAAACAGTTTTTAAAAGCAGGTATTTCTGAATGTACTCCATCAGTCCCAACAGTTCAGAAAAACAGTTGTTCAGTGTCCAAATGAAGTGTGCATGTTACAAATTGTACATTTTTAATATACTCATTTATACCACATGACATGAGCATAAGATACAATGATTTCTTATGTTATTCAGTATGCCAATTTATTGCTACAGTTCCCCCCCCAAAAAGTAGGGCACACCTGGAAATAGCTCTTAATCCAAGGCTATTACAGCTGTTCTCATGCCTTGGACCCCAAGGTCAAGTCACTAGTGTTCCTATGTAAACCACCAGATTTTTGAAGTGTTTTCTTTTTAATTTACACTTAAATTAAATGCTTTTTTTTGCAAGACTATTCTTAGATGCTATTTAGCAGGAAGTGTAACATTTGAATATTTATTACAATATAAGTATTTCAAATCATAGGGCATAAAATTTTCTTCACCTTCATTTTGCTTGACATCTTTAGCCATACCAATCAGAAGAAACAGGTTCCTTGTATGAAGTTACAACTGCCCCCACCCCAAAAAACCACCCCAAACAACCCACAAACAGTGAATTTAACCAACTTGCACAAGGAATGAGGGTCCAGAGTTCATGGGTAAACTATTATTCCTACAAAATGAAAGGTGCTTGGGCCTTACGAAGTGCTGTCATGTATACTTGTGCAATAATCACAAGTTCTCATTGTATGCCTGTATTAAGAAAAAAATAATTAAGCATTGATTTGGGTTTTCCTTTCTGTTTTGTTTCTAAGAACAGTCTTAAGAGTTCTATATTCTGAATGCAGATAATTTTTTAGTTATTCCAATTTGAGTGCAGCACAGCTGCTTTTTAAAGGTCAGGCTCCATTTGAAAGTGTCTCTACTCTTTAGCTCAAATGATTTTCAGATATTTGAATGTTTTGCCAGCCCTTTTGACCAATAATATGATCATTTTATTGTCAAAATAAGAATTTTCTAGCAAATGAAAAGCTTATTCCAACAGTACAAGATCTCTATATCCAGTGTGAAAGCAACATGGTGGTATAAATATACGCATACATTGTATTACACATAATATATTATACACATTCCAGTTAACCATGGAACAATTAACAGGAGTAGATGACTACTAATCATGGGTACAAAGTATTTTTGTAAACAAGATTTTGAGAAACCTTAAGGAAAATCTGATTTCTGGAAAGATGACAATCTTGGGATTCCATTTTTGTTTTCAAAGAAGTAAATTTTTTTTTTTTTTGTAAAGGATGCTGTATATAAGAATGCACTTTGTATTAAAACAAAGATCAATACTTTACAGTTTAAGAAACTTTACATATGTACATAAATTACACATCAGGAATGGTTTTAAAGCTCAAAATGAGTTGCCAGAAAAGTCTATTTTCCTTCTATTAAAATCTTTAACTCTTTGACGTTGTGATCATTTGCAACTGTCACAGCATGATCCAGTGCTCGGATACTTGCCAGGAGCTTTATGATCTGCTTTATGTGCTCCCTAAAAAAGACAAAGAAGTCAATACAGGAATGGAACAATCATGTGAAAGTATTAATATTTCAACAGAACACTACATTATGAATCCATATAGCAAATCAGTTTTAGGTAACTTCATATCATCTTCTTCTCCACTTGCTTAGTCTGATAAAATAAGTTGGTTATCAGCTTTGTACTGAAATTGAAAAATTTATTTTGGGAGTAGGAATTAATCATACAATATTGTTTAATACTAGATGCAGCATAATCTCAAGAAAAAGTCTTGGATTACTTACAGTACTGTGCAATCAGTCACAGCTCTCTTGGTAACTAATGTTTAAGCCCCCCCCAAAAAAAAGCAAGTATGCTTTAATGCATGCCTTAAAAAAAGGTATGAAGCTTGCCACCAATGAACTGCATTACAATTCAGGTCAATCTAGGAAGCTTAGAGTGAACAAACTGCTAGGAGGACTGTACTTCTTTGGCTGTCAAGAACAATTTTGGTATCTTGGTAGGAGGCTGGACATGGAATTTAGAGGTCAGTCTTACAAAAAATACTAGAAGTTCAAAATTAATCTTAAAAAGTAAACAGCTGATCTGTGAAAAAGCATCCAACATTTGGAAAGCTAGCACCAACAGAAATAGGTAAAGATACACTTCCCTCTCAGCAGAAATTAATGCATTTTTGTTTCAAACAACTGTACTAGGTTTTATATGAAAAGACATGACATTCTTCAGTTAATAGTAGTAGCATTTCTGCAGCAGACTTATTTTATCTGCTTCATGGGGGCAATGGCAATAGATTTGTTAAATGCTGGGAAAAAAAAGGACAGAAGATAGAAATTACATTAGAACTCTCTATTAAAAAAAATTATTAATTGGATGTTTCTCTTCCAATACAAAGTTTTACCAAGTTATCATTTCAGCTGATAAAGAAAGTTCTTTCAAATTTAGAAACAGGCTACCAAAAGAGGGAAAGTTTAATCTCTACTGGACCCTCTCTCACCTCCATTTCAATTCCAGTATCATGCTAGGCTAGGCATTTTGGTTTTAGAAAGGAAGGAGTAACACGTCTATTTTGAATTTGAATCATGGGGAAATTTAAACTGGTACATGACTCTACTATTATACTTTGGACACAAAGTTCTGAGGCATAACCTGAGAGCAGATAAAAAGTTGTTTGAGCACAACCCAGTGCGGCAAAAAGCTCAGTGTTCTCTGAAAACGAGATGATTCATATGCCACAGCCAAAAGTGATTCTAAAGACAGAACAGTATCTACTAACCAACATGGTAACTGGAAAAAAAAATGATACCAGGAAAAACCCCAACCTCTTAATCAAGATTTTTCTGCTACAGTTTAAGGGAAATTTCTGTCTCTATGTTTCAGTGCTATGCATAAGATCAAAAAGGGACAAGGATCTAATCCCCCGGAGAGCCTCAATAATTGAAAAGTAACTCAACAATGGCTCAAGCAAGTTCAGCTATCAAGAATGACTAGTGCAGGTAGCAAGGGGGTTCATCTTTCCAAGTTTCAGGTTTGCTGGAACAACAGAACTATTGATCTTGAAACCTCTCCCTCTCATACAACAGCGCAGGAATAAACAATCTTCCAGTCTTGTTATATTCCTGTGTATCAGTGCAACAATTTGGTTTTTAAGTTTATCATTGCTTAAAATGATACACCCACAGCATTTCAGGTTACTTGGCCAGCAGTAACATTTACGCATCTATCTGAACTTTTAATTATGTTGGTTATCAGATACAAGTAAAATGACTCCTTGATCTAGGGGAAAACAGGTTCATCTAGTTGGTTCTGTAAATAAAGTCAGAACTTTTCTACTGTATATAAAAGCACAGTTTATAATTTAGAAGCCATTATGCAGGAATAGGCAACAGGCTCACAAGGTGGAACAGTCCAAACCCAGTAGCTACAAAATTTGCCAGAATCAGTGACACTAAGCAGTAGTGCAAAATATATTATGAATGTTTAAAGATTTCCAGCAGGTGTTGTTTTTAGACACCTTAAAAATCTCCATTTACCATACTGTTAACATTTTTAAAATTTGAATTCAAAGAAGTTTCAAAAGACGTGCAGCAGTATGGAGGTATTTACCCACGTTTGCATGCTTCAGCAAAATAACACAAAGCACAAGAATTGCAACTGCGTTAACTCAAGATAAGTTACCTCGCATTTCTTTTCTCTACATCAGAGCAACCAATGCTGTTTCTATAAATTGTATCAGCCAGATGAACAAGGTATCTGCAGAAGTTTTCTAGCTGAGAAATAGTCTTGTCTCCTTTTAGATTAGCAAACCACTGTTTAGGAAAGCAAGCAATTACCTAGACATAACAGGAAAAAGAAAGTTAAACACAACATAAAAAGATTTTAAAAGCTATCTAACATGATTTGTGAAGTCTGCCAGGCACAATTGCAGTGACAAGGCCCAACTGAGTGAAACAGTGAGGAACCTACCAAAAAGAAAAAATTTAAAAAATCCAAAATTCAAGCAGTAGAACACTGAAACTTACACTATACTTAAGCTGTCTACAGGTATGAGCCAGATAAGGTTCTTCCTTTAGTTAGGGGTATGAGCCAGGGAAGGTTTTTTTTTTTTTTTTTTTTTTTAAAAAAAAAAAAAAAAAAAAAGTCTATTTTTCACTGACATCACAACTTCGAGATATCAAAGCCAAGATTTCATAGGTAACATCAGTTTTTAACTATATTTTTCCTTCAGCTGAAGTGTGTGATTTACAAGTGATTTTAAACATTGTTTGATTTTACTTACACTTTGAGCTTTCTTAATGCTGTCCTCTCCATACTCAGAGTTTTGAAAAGCCATAAGAATGTATCTATTTAGCAGACCATCTATTGACAGTTCCTGGAGAGTTTTGTTTGAAAGGATTCCATACCACTGGAGAAAGTTTCCTAATAACTGAAAATACAACACAGGGAAAATAAGCATTTAAAAATGTACTGAAACCAGGAGGCTGATCAAACACTCTAAAGCCTCTTCAAATGCAACAGCATGGCCAAGGTAAGCAGTGGAAATATGCCTTCTGTTAGCTTCAAAACTATTCACAATCCATAAAGGTCCAGCCTGGAGTGTTACGAATTCTCATACAACCACCACCACTACCTCCTCAACTTTGCTCATGTTTTGCACAAGAAATCAGAAAAAAAGAATTAAAGTTTTAAGCCATCTTGTTCTCAAAATGTGATGTCAATGTCAAGCCAAGTGAGGCCTAGCATATGGCATACGGGCGCAAATTCACAGCCCCCTTATCAATGAAATCCCCAGCTATGCTGTCAGCGTACCCTTATTTCCAAGGCACAGTGACACAAGAAACACAGAAAGTGTCACAGGGGAGTGCCAGCTAAGCCAACTCTGCAGCTGTTTATTCCCCACTGGCACACGGCCTGCAGAGAAATTGCTGCCAGTCTTGTACAAATTAATACAGCCAGCAGTTTACTGTTAGGGCAGATCATCGTGAAATAGTAAACGAACACATGCCTCCCAGCTTCTACTTCTGCTTGTCTGTGATCCTATAACTGACTCACTAGCGCAAGAGATTGTATTTTTAATGCTTCCCTAAAATAAAACTGTGGTAACAGCATGCATACTTCTAAACTGCCCAGGCTCTGACAGGGCACTCAAAAGAGACACAAGCCCTAAATAAGAGATCTGTTTCACTTTTAACAACAGCATTTTAATAAGTGAGCTTTGTGCATTTTTTGCTCTAGACAGCATTTAGGAAGTTGACTTTTATTTCAAAGTGAAAAAATTCAGTGCCAAATATTTTAAGTAAATGAAGTGATTGCAAACCTATTCAGAATACAGTCTCTGCCACTGCTGCAATTTAAATAGAAAATTCCAGATAAGAGTTCTGTTTGCCTGATCATGGAGATCAGCAGTTCAATCAACATGGATCTCACACTTTACTTTCCTGTTTTGTTGGGAGTTAATTTTCTTCACAGCCTTTTATTGGAAATAAACTTACAGACCTTTGCAAACTATATTGCACATTCCACACACAGAGACTTTTTCTTTCACACTCTTTATAGTTTCAATTAAACTAAGATTACAAATGCTCTTATACTTCACAAATAGCAGTGAGCTTTCCAAAAGGGACCATGTTATTTTCATGAAGATTCTCATGCTATATATATATATAAAAAAATAGAAACCAAGCTCTCTCATTCCCACATAAGTGAAATAAAAGCAGCATGTTTTATTCTGACAAGCACAATTACATTAAAAAAACTGGGTTGAGTATGGTAAGTAAACCCACAACATACAAGTTAAAATGATGGTGCTTTCACTTGGCAGTCTTTTGAAGAGGGCACAGTGCATTACCAGAGACTAAGAATCATAATTTAGAGTTCTTTCAAATGAAGTTAAAGCAATTTCTATCTACAATTTTCCACAAATTTGAAGAGGATTTTATTGCCACACTGTCTAGACCAAAGATTTACAGGATGTATTTACTGACTTACCTTAACAGAGGACCAAAACTGACGTTGGAAAAACAAATACGGACCAGAGTTCTTGTTTTCTAAGATGCTGGAAAGTAAGAAATTTCTTTAATGAGCAACCAAGACCACCTCTGTCTGGAGTTTGCCGGCTTCCTCCTTCCCACACACAGTTCAGTTCTATAAATATTCCCTTCCATCCTGCTTGTCTTTGCTAAATCCTCACAGCATGATAACGAAAGATCTCCTCTATCCAGCCAGTGAACCATACTGAGAAAAAAACCCTGTTAACTACAGACAGAAGACACCAACTTGCCAACAACGGTCTAACACCACAGTTGAAAGAAAACTTACTTTTTTGGATATAAGGGCATGAATACATCATCATCTAGTGTTCTCCTCATTCTTAGCAACAATGCCTTTAAAAGCATCTGAAACAGATAAATTTATTTTTAAGTGTCCAAAGCATGGCTTAGTAGTTAACCACTCAGAAATTGATTTTCAAAGTAACAAAGACCATTTGTGACCCTAACAGTAAAAGGTATACATACTTAAGCACACATATAAAGTCTTAGAGAAGCCTATAATTAACAGAGCTGAAATCTGACACTTTCAAAAAAACCTGAAGGCAACGGAATTACTTTGTGGTTAAGCTTGGCTACACAATTAGCTTCTGTGAAGTCAGGGCTTTTCTGCTAACTTCCCCATACACATGCACTTTGGCCTATCACCCATTATTCTAAAGGCAATGCATACATTGCATTAGCTATGGCACCTGAACTCATGACATCGGTTCTTGTATTCATAGAAGATAAGTAAAACAATCAGATTTCCAGGCAATACATTTGAAAGGGTTACAAAGATCTAAAAAAGAAAAGCCTGACTATTTGTAGCTAACCCTTAAAGCAAAACTGCAGACCAACAAGTCTTAGTACATTTGGTATCTCTTTTTATCTCTAGCACCTATTTTGAGGAGACTTCACTGAGCTCCTCCTCCTAATTTATCACCATACTTGACTCTGCATAACAAGGCTGCAGAGCATCAAATAATTGCAAAATTCTCTTTCTTGCTCCTCACTAAGCATGCTGTGTTCTCCAATACAGCATATTAAAAATATACTCAAATTCCTTAACTTATGAAAGATACTTAAGAAAAAACAACTTACTTGTGTATTTTTGTTTTCTGCATTCACCACTGAAGGATATCCATCTACTAGTTTCTGTACAATTGCTACCATTCTAGACGTTTGTGTTGTAGAAAAAGGATCCCATATATTTTCAGAAATCACTGTAAGAGATTAAAGAATTACTCCACTTTGCAAATACTCAAATACAGGTAATAAGACAGTGTCGTGGTTTAACCCCAGCTAGCAACTAAGCACCACACAGCCGCTCACTCACTCCCCCCCTACCCAGTGGGATGAGGGAGAAAATCGGGAAAAGAAGTAAAACTCGTGGGTTGAGATAAGAACGGTTTAATAGAACAGAAAAGAAGAAACTAATAACGATAATACTAACAAAATGACAACAGTAATAATAAAAGGATTGGAATGTACAAATGATGCACAGTGCAATTACTCACCACCCACCGATCGACATCCAGCTACTCCCCGAGCAGCGATCCCCCACTCCCACTCCCCCCAGTTCCTATACTGGATGTGACATCACATGGTATGGAATACACCGTTGGCCAGTTTGGGTCAGCTGCCCTGGCTCTGTCCTGTGCCAACTTCTTGTGCCCCTCCAGCTTTCTTGCTGGCTGGGCATGAGAAGCTGAAAAATCCTTGAGTTTAGACTAAACACTACTTAGCAACAACTGAAAACATCAGTGTTATCAACATTCTTCCCATACGGAACCCAAAACATAACACTATACCAGCTACTAGGAAGACAATTAACTCTATCCCAGCTGAAATCAGTACAGATAGTCAGGCAATAATTCACAAAACAGTAAAATCTGAAAGCACAAACAAGCATCAACTTTCACACCTCCCTCTCTACCCCCATTTTCATTCTAAGTCTTTCTAAGACTGTACCTGTTAATTTAGGAAGAACAACTCTTTCTACAATGGTAGGCAACAGTGAAATATCAGCATCATCTTTCACTTGCTCCTGTTCTTCACAGCCATAAAACAGCAATGATTCAAACCACAACATAGTCTCAAAATCTCGACACTTGCCCTAATAAAAACAGAATTGAGGTTAGATTCTTAAACAGAGATTTAAAGTCAATACTTTAAAAAAAAAGAAGAAATAAAAACATTATATGTGCAAGTATGATACCTTCACAAAACAGAACAAAACTACTTTAAAACAGTCCACCAAGTGTGCTTAGCAGGCAGTGTACGTGGCAATTAAGTGCAGTAACAACTCAAAAATCTAGTCCTCTGTCTACGTGTCTGGGACTCATCTGCACTGGAAATAAATAAAAAAAAAGATATAGTGCCTCAAGACCAAACAGTCTCTTAATCTGGCACAAGGTTGGGCAAATTACTTCACCTGCTTTGGCTCCCCTACTTTTGAAGCAGTGATACTACTTCCTTCAGAAACGTAGGCAAGCCTGATTCCTGGAAGTGAAGAAAATGTTCTACCTCTTTGCCTGAACACTACTAAACATGCCATCACAGGTCATTGTAGTGTATATGAACAACCCAACCCAAGCAAAAGCTGAGAGAGGATGGGGAGCAAGGTCAATTTCCCACAAATCAGCCAAATGAACCAATTCACTCTACAACCACGCAATCACTAGCTCTAATGAAAGTGAAAACGGTAGAAGACTGCTTTTTTTGGCAGCTGTTGCCCTACAGATTTTAACTTCTAATTACACCTGAGCCAAATAAAAGCCCACAGATTAGGGTAAAAGTGAGAAGTATAGTTCATTTGTGCTGCATTATAAAATGATGCCTTCTGGATTAAACCCCTCTTTTTATGGATGCCTTATAATTTTTCTAACTTAACAAAATGCTGAACAGGACCAGTAACACAAAGTAGTGAAAACAGTTATGAGAATTCTGTACCATGTCTCCAACTAACTTGAGCTTTGTTTTGCCAGCCTGAGAACTCACATAGAAATAGAATGGGGTAAGGGAGAATGTACAAAAACAGTTTAAAATTTAATGAGGACACCTTTCATAGATTTTTCCCTTGTTATTCAAATTAAATACTGTGAATGCTTTCTGAAGAAGACTTGTGCCTCCCTTCCTCTGCAATCAGAGCAGAGGCAACAGAAGATCCCCTTCTACAAATATTCTCTTAGTAGTTAAGAAAAAAAACCACCTCTAAAAAAAGTAGAGATTCAGTCATTTGTGAGATAGGCTGACACATCTGCAGACAGTGCTGTAGATGAGCTAAGTTTTGAAAGGGAAGAAGACAAATCTGCCTTATTAGCCTAGTCTCCTAAAAAACCCCACAAACCCAAAATCAAACCAAGCTTATGCAATCGCACTCACTCCGTGCCTTGACCCACTCCCATTCCCCAGTAAAAGCCAATATGGCAGAAAAAAGTAAGTTCCTACCAGTAGTGTGAAAATAAGCACCTGACTGCAGCAGAAATACCTTATAAGAGCTTTCACTGGTAGGAAGAACAGAGTGGGAGTCAAAAGCTACCTGAGCTGTTTGTCCTGATGGCTATTCCTGTCAGCACACATATGCAGGCTGGACAATGAACATGTGCCAGGGATACTGGGCTGCAACAATGCTGTCCTGCTTTTCCCATGTTCCCTACCTAATAACTGGGCAATAAGTACTACGAGGAAGACTTAGAAATTGCCAGCCAGAGTTCTACAGGATATGAAGATATAGGCGAGAGAAAGAAAGATACATAGTGTAGAGACACAGGTTGCAAGTCAACATAAAAACAGGCTTCTTAGTTCCACTTCTGAAGAAACAACATCTCTAGAATCACAATTTTCTCTTAAGTATTTTAAAACTCAAATGTATTATTTAAGAAGCTGTTTGGCTTTTTGGTCTACACCACTCACTGAGAAGGTACTGTCATGTGTTGAATTGAACTCTGGCCTGCTGGGAACACAGAGGACAACAGTCCAGAAACTCCCCAGAAAAGCTTCACCCCAAAAGAAGTGCCCATTTTAAACTTCATGCCTAGGACATGCATTTATGAGAAGCACACATCAAAGGTGCAATTTACTTTGCTCTGCAGAGGTGTGAAAGAGCCGCTATATAGAAGCTTACATAGAAGTTGCTTGCAGAGGACCTTACCTCCAAAGGAGTCCAGATAAGCAGCTGAAGTCTGATTAAAGGGTTAAACAGCTTTGGTAAACAGAGGCCAATATAAGCATCCTTATAAGAAGCAAAGTACTTTGAGCGCCAAGCTTCAAACTGTGACTTAATACAATCAATTGAGTAAAAGCTTTCCAAAACATCTTCGAAAACTTTGCTGGATTCTTTCAATATACGATCTGGTGGGGGAGAAAGAGAGTAATAAGTTAATCACCTATTCCCTGTAATACCTCTTTCAAGATGGACTTTGATGCTCACTGGCATAAGCTAACTCCTATAAACAAAACCAAAAAACCATCACCTTTAAAAGTTCTGTTACTTCTGCCTCAAATATACAAAGCAATAAAAAAAATGAGTAGTCTCTGATATACTGTTTTATCACAGGTCTTGCTTTAAACATTTAATACAATGATTTTCAGTTACCAGACACTGGACTAGTGATATATTGGGCTCTATTCAGTGTGGATCTAACTTCACAGCTGGCCTTCCTCTACATGGGAGTTTAGAACAGCTGATCTCCAGGTCCCTTCCAACCCAAATTATTCTACAACTTTGCTCATCTAAGTGCAAGTACTGGAGGACATCTCAGATAAGCCAACTGAATCAGCACGTCAGACAGAGCAGGTCCTGGCAGACACCATGCTGAACATAACATGGCTGTTAGCACTGGGTAACCATTACAATCCCTTAGCACCTTCCTTACATTTTTTTAATATTTACAGTATCAGTATTCTACACAGTCCAAAACTTTTTCTCTATATATTATTTTCCCTTCATCTTTTCTACTTCCCAGGGTTAGTTTCATTTTAATCACTCATTTTTGCTGCAGCCACAGTTTTAAATATTCATTTACAGTAGTAACCTGTACACAACTAACATAACTAGTACACACAGCAGGTAGAGACAGGGCTGAGGGACATGAAATTATGTCACGTAAACACACTTTTTACAATAGGATCAAGAAGAGATGCTACAAATAAAGTCAGCAGGTCCAAAGTGCATTCCTCTGTTCCATATAGCTCACTGCTGATTCTGGACTACCATGAGAGCTATGAATGATAAAAAAAAAGAAGCTTTAGAAATGTTAAGCTTACTCAGAAACTGATGAAACTCCTACAGAAGGCTTTTGTACACATAAAAGTGCCAAATTACAAAGAGCAATTGAGCCACACTGAATTTTTAATCTAGATCATTTAACTTAGCAAAGTTAATTATAGTACCTAAAAAGCCTGAACAGTTGCTTTGTTTATCAGAGCGCTCTCTGCATCCACAATTTTGGTAAATCAGCCAGTGACTAAAGGTGTGGAAACTGCACTTCTGAAAGACCCAACTGCTGGACAGTTCATCTAATTGCCTTTTTAATCTATTCATACTTTGGGTCTCCACAACCACCTACAGCAATGACTTCGGCATTTTTATTACACTCTCTGTGGGAAGTGACTTGTTTACTTTAAACCTACCGTATCACTTCATTTCATGCCCACTAGCTCTGATACTGTGAAAAGTCAACATCGTTCTCCTAGCTGAAGAGTCCAAAACTGTTTAATCCCTCCTCACATACAACATAAGCAATTCTATACATGTGATCCTTGCTGCTCCCCTTCTCCACATTTCTTCTAATATGATTAAATTCTGCTTCATCAGAGAGAATAATTGTACTCAGGTTCAAAATGAAAAGGTAACAGGATAACTACAGTGATGTTCTACTTTCTTCGCTACTGGTTTCACAGTAATCACTGGAACTGTCTGCCTTTTAACTGCTACTATAAAAGATGATCATTCCATCAAACTAACCATACTTCCCCAAATGTCAGGCTTCTTGCATTTCTCCCAGTTAGAGGCATTAGCTTAACTTACAACCCCATTTATTGCATAATTAGGGTTATGCATAATAATGGTTACTTTGACCAAACCATCATAAAACTGCAGATGAATTTCAAATCAGGTCAGTACCACAAGATCTTTCTGCAATGTTTGCACTCAACATTGCTTTCTGTCATCTGCAAAGTTTGCCAGGCTGTAACAAGAGTCTACAAAACCTTTGTCATTGCATTTCTAGATGCTTATACAAAACTCCAGAAAATACTTCCTATCAAGCAAAAAAAAAAAAAAAAAAAAAAAAAAAAGTTTCTAAAGCACTCACTGAGGTTTTCAGAATTTCACATGTAAAACAAACAGTAGTAACCTGTACACAACTAACATAACTAGTACACACAGCAGGTAGAGACAGGGCTGAGGATTGTTACTACTAACAATTTGGAGAATGATAAACCACGTTACAAATTAGGAGGAAGACTTAGTATCCACTGAAAGTACAAAAGCTTATTGCTAGCCAGCAAAAGAATGTTTGAATTAAATAAAACGAATCTCACTGAGGATTGGGTATTTAGTTAGCTGCAAGCTGCACAACAGGTTGGTGAAAGGGACAGTTTCGGTCACACTGATGATCCACCAAGGAACAGTTCCTAAACTTTCTCCAAAATATGGTGAAACATATAGATAGGGCTGCATTTGGATAATTTTCTTTTTTTCTGCCAATTTTCTGTATTTTATTACATAAAGCTTCAGTAGCTTTTCTAACCTCGCTCCATGTTGAAGTTTGTAATATCCGTTGAAGTTTCCTCATCATCGCTGGAAAGGCCTTCAAGGTGATCTGCCATCTTCCCAGTTTGCTCTCTTGCTTGTCTACGACGAGCTCTGAAAAGGATCAGCAGTATAAACCAGCTATTACTTTCTTTTGAGTGTGCGTGTGTGTCGCCCCTCCCCCCCCCCGCAATGAACAGACCTGCCTAAGCTTGTCATAACTTTCAATGCAAGGAAATCCAGGTTGGAAAAAACTTTCACTATGTCACCACCTCAAACGTTCCACTACACTGCTGCCTCAAACAACGGAAGGAAGAGAAACCAGCAGAGACTATACAGATACAGAATGACTCTACTATGCTCTCTTTTAGAGATTTTACATCAGTATCATGTAATGATCCCTTGTTTTGTACACCTGTATGATAAGTTGGGATATATAAGGCTACCCCTGCCCAGCATACCAGCTTAAGTGTTTTCTTCCCTTTGCAGGAAAGGAGCAAACATTGCTACTTCTGTTAGTATGTTACACAGGACACTAACATACAGGCAGGCAAAGACTCCTAATGGACAAGAAATCTCAGTACTCTACCTTCTAGCCTCTCTTTCTGCAGTCCGACGCTTTACTTGTTCTTGATAGATCACTCTGTCTCGTCCAAAAGATTCAAGATTTGGTGCCATCAGTGCTTTATCTGTAAAATTACATTGACGAAAATTAAAATGCTTATCTACGATTATATAAATGTGTTGTAGGCAGTTTCATAAGAGCCTTTTACCTACTTTAAACTAAGTGTAATTTGAAGTAGAAAGTTGAAGTTTTCAAAAAGATGCACCCAGAAGCCCGAATTCACAAGTGTAGAGGTTAAAAGAGGAAGTAGTGGAGTTTGGAAAAATCTCCACTTAAATGTCAAATAGTTTTCACCATACTTCACTCTTGTCCCTCTCACAACAGTGCCCAACTATATAGAAGTCAACAGTTTTAACAGAAATTGCTTAAATTGAATGTTCCAAGACAAAAAGTGCTCCTTAAACAAACACGTTCCCTGTGTACCTTTTGAAAAGAAAATGAACAAAAAGAAAGACAGAGAAAAGTGACTGGAGCGGGAATATATGATATTTCAGAGTTCTAGTCATAGTGTTTTCTCAGTTCATATACTTCAGATTGCCTAAAGTTTAAAACACATCAAAACCTACATGAAGATAAACCATCCTCCCTCCTCTTTTTAAGCTGCAATTCATTATAGATGTTTCTGGTTATAGAAAACACCACAGCTAAACAGTGAAGCTGATCAGCAACCAGCAGGCGGACCCAAGAGTGCTTCCAGTTCATCCTTTTCAGGTAAATTTTTAAAATTGGACTGAATGTTAGCCAGTGGTCAAGTCCACCCACTAAAATATAAACATCAAAATTTAAACAAAAGCCTACCCAAATTTCAAGAGTAAATTTACTTGTTCTAATTAAATCTATTTACAAATCTATCATTAAGAATATTAATGCTGATCTATCCAAAATCTACACCAGAAGAGCCTTAACATACAGATGAAGCCATCATTTGTCCAATTTTTTAAAATGTTATCGAAGCTGAGCTACTTGTCTTTACACAGAAGTATAGCAAAAGTTGGCAGACAAACTTAAATTCACTTCTAGGCCTTTCGTGTTCTGACACTGTATGAAGAAAAGCAGATCATCTATGACTGCAACACACATCAAATCAAAGGCTGGCATCAATTCCTAGTTTCTGTGATAATTTGAGAGACAGAACTGGACTATTTCTAGACACAGTGAAATTCATTCTCAAGACTTCCAGATACTAAATAAGATCTCTCTTTAAAACCCAGCCCTGACAATGACAGCTATTCCCATCTGTCCTGGTTTTGGCTAGGATAGTTAATTTTCTTCCTAGTAGCTGGTATAGTGTTATATTTTGGATTTAGTATGGGAATAATGTTGATAACACACTGATGTTTTCGGTTGCTGCTAAGTAGGGCTCCAAATAAAAGTCGTAAAGGGAATATGTACGCTAACCTCTCCATAAAAGGGTGACCAACTCCGATGCCCTAACACTTTATCACCCTCAGTAAGTTCCATCGAATGGTATTAACAAAATTTCATCTCTGGACACACTGTGACAGAATAGGAGATGGCTTTTATTATAGGATTTTAGGTCAGCAATAGGATGGACAAGAAAGCCATTTTTAAAAATGGGAAGCTCTCCAAAGCAGAAGACGATTACTATTAATATGATATTTTACCTGTCGTTTAACATGCTGAATAAGATCTCCTCCAAGGAACATGTATATCCACCCAAGTTAACATCTATACTTTTATAGAGTTTTACGTATTGAAGAGTAAACACCACAAGAAAACTCCTCAGTAAGAATCCCCCATCCACAAAGTAAGCAGGTATTTTAACTGGCTAATTTTAAGCTGCATTTCATATAGGGTCACTTTGTATTAGCCTGATTTTTAACAACAGCACCAATCTCTTCCGGTTCTTTAGCTTTACCAGTTAAGTGTCTGAAACGAAATATTTACGCTGCCTATAAAATAGAGCATTAGACAGAAGTCAACTCTAGCCCAGTGCTTCATGGCTTTGTACAGAGTTAACTGTAAGCATTACAGGGAATTTATATATTCAAGGAGGTTAAAAAAAAAAAAAAGTCCTGACATAAGAGAAAAATCAGGAGTCACATGCTACCACTACTACCACTGCCACCACGCATACATTTTCAGTGCTAGGAAAGAGAAAATATAGTTAAGAGCAATAGAAAGGAGAGATGAAGTCAGAGTTAGAGTGGCTTTGAGTTTAAAACAAAACAGATTAGAGAACTTTTATCTAAACTTGCTTCTACCTATCTCAAGAGTAAGGATAAACTTTAAGACAGTCATACTTTAAACATTTACATTTAAATTAAGCCATACTAAGTAAACAAGGTTGTTTAATGAATAATAAAAACCTTCAAGATGGACTGACTTGAATGGCTTGAAAACTCCGAAGATTCATCTTTAATATCATCTTGTCGTCTTTGGACAAGGCGGGAAGCTCGCTGTTTGTACAGCTGGTGCATTGCGGATTCAAGTTCATTAATCAGAGGCACCTGTAAAAATACAACACACTACGTAATATCAAATTCTTCAGGTGCTTGGTTTCTGGGGTACCATACTATTCCGAAGCATAATGCTGTCATTGTACTTATAGCAGCACAAACTGTTTCCTTTTACTCATCTGTATCATTTGGACCAGTAAATATTTCAACATGAAGAAAATGCATGCATTTAACAACGTTGACAGCTTTCAACCGCAGCAATAACATTCTGAAAGTAACTTCTGTTGATTGAATGTGCCTACACAGCAAGACAACCATATTAGAGTGTGAAATGTTATTTCAAGTACTCGTTTTCTCTACCAAGTGCATTACACATTGTGTTACAGTGCTTACAATTCTCAGACCTCATTGTTTCCACTCTCTCTTTAAACAAGAATGTAGTTGTATTCTACACTTTAATGAGAAAATAACCTGAGTTTATACAGTGAAAAAACAAAGCATGACTTTAACTTCCTGAAGCCAGCAGGTATCGTTTTGCCGTAACTCTTATTAGCATATGCTGAAATATTATTACTGAAATGCAATAAAACACTGCATATGCATGTTACGCCAACAGATACTTCAAATCAGTAAAATGTCACCCTAGCCAATCACTAAGATTGTACAATTTTTGAGTTATGCATTAAGTATAACCTTTGAATGATACAGACTTAAATCGGCTCAGACCTGCCACTTTTTTTTTTTTTAAGTGGACTAAATTTCAGTAGGAATTGTAACAAAAATAGATGATAACAACTAGGAATTTCCTGACATTAAATAGCAGATTCACTGCTCACTTTTGCAAAAATTCATTTCCTGGGACAAGTTAAAATTAGATTATTATAAATATTCAAATGCAAACCAGAAGTCTTCTCGATCTCTTAATTTGGAAAGGCAAGTCCTTTTGGTATGAACACTTAAGCTATGTCCTCCTTACCTCCGAGACTTATGCTTAGTCCACAGTCTTCCAGCCTTTTAGCTCAAATATTTCACTGCTGCCTACCATCCAGGATTAAGTTTTTTTCAAAACAAAAGATAAAATCAGAAATTGTTTCCTGATGTAATTTAGAACATGACTCAGCAGCTATTAAAGAACCTCCTCCAGTAAAATATAGGATTATGAGATTATAGCTACAGGGCCATTTCAGCTATCTGAAAATGACACACATCAGAGGAGATATTAAGCGGAAAGAAGTATTAGCTCTTTGTGGTATAAACTGGGCTACAGGGATTAAAATGAAAGCAACTCTGCACCAACTCAAGATACGTACAACTTTCTTTTGGAGAAAGCAGAGCAGAGAGAAATAGGAGGAGGGTATATCCCAGTGTTGGAAGTGCATATCTGGAATTTAAGACAACTTTGAGAAGAGAAATAATAATTTAAAAAATACTAGTTTTCCTGCAGTCCACCATAGAAAATATAGCTTTTTCTCTTAAGTGTGTAAAGGGAATTCTAAAATGAAAAGTTAAATGAAAATTTTTCAAAGCATCCCTAGAGGTTCTTTCTGTAATTGCCTCAGGATTAAAAAAACCCAGCTATGTATTCAGATATATGAATCCACTCAAAATATTTCCCATTCAAATCCAAGAGACTTAGAAGCCATTATTCTTCTATAATCAATAGCATGGTTGATGAGTGACTGACAATTTCACTAACTACTAGAAAGTTACAGCCCTCATTCACTGTGTTTTGTTTAGTCAATACCTTAAATTCAGTGTTTCGGGGTTTTTTTTCTTCACTTTCACTGTAAACAGTGTAAGGGGAAAAGCGGAAAGCTTTCTGAACATTTACATGACAAGGATCATTTTAACCTACGGTCCCTCTCTCTGACACACAGTGCGTTTTGGTAATTTGCTTTTGCAGGTAAAATAACAGTTCATCTAACTGTGCTGTCAAAGATATGCTTTCTGTATCCTTTGCATATTCCTACATTCAAAATGTAAAGACACCATTACCATTTTCTAGCCTTCTCAGAAAGCATAATTTTGACAGTAATTACTTGTGAAGGAAGTCATGCAAGCATCTTCTGCTTCACTGGTTTTATCATTTATGGGGGGGGAAAAAAAATCCTAGAGGATTTGACATTTCTATTGCTTGTTTCTAAAATTTGCATAATAGCTGCCTCATTATACTCTCCACCGCACCTTATCAATGAGCAAAGTGTTTCTAACATCCAGAATCTCTTCAAAACAGAATACAAACAAAATGGTTTTGCTTGGTTGGGGGTCACAAAGGGTTGAGCATGGTGAATGGGTGCAGAAATAAGATGGTGGGGGGAAAAAAGTTAACTTATGATGATGTTTTTTGTTCTCCAAAACTAAGTCAATAGACACACAAGAAAACTCTACAGGAATGGACTCTTTTGGAGTGGACAAGTATATTGTGAACCCATTAGTGCTTCTTCAGCAAACCACTTTCTCATTCAGATCAGTACCAATGTGAATTTGGCTAATAACCATGACTAGTCCTAATAAAATAAAGAATCAAAGCATCATATTTGGAAGGATAGGGAGGGACCTAGCTTCATACATATTTAGGATATGTGTTCATATATATATGTGTATATATATACACACATACATACACACAAAATATTGCTATTACACATATAGATACACATTTTATATGCTTAAGTATACTATAATCATAACAACTATGTACATTATATATTATGAACACACACACAGTTTAAACAAAGTAGTCGGGGCCACAGGTTCTACAAAAAAGCTGAAGGTAATTTATCTTGACACTCAAAAGATAAGAAGAATTTACTGTCCTGCTGCATTTCATGATTTCATTTAAATAAAAACTGATACTGATTTTACTACTTTATTTTGTCCCCTCCCCCCACCTCCTTTTTAGAAAACGTTGTGGTGTCCTGTGGGCTACGGTTTTTTAATTTGATAGTACTTTTGTCATGCTGAAAGCATTGAATTCCAAAACAGATTATCTGGCCAAAGAACTGAGGAATATATAGGACATCATAATAAATTAAATGCTCCTCTTAAACTGACAACATCACTTCCTAATTTTGCAAGTCACTGTACATACAGGTGCTGCAGCAGCCTCCAACTGAAAACAGCGAAACTCTGTGAATGTCCCTAAGAAGCATGAGATGATAAAAAACACATCTTAAAAGTTCAATGGGCTGGCATGGCAGATGGGGTATGGGGAGGGTGGGAAGGGAGAGGAAGGTATCCAGGTGTAGAATTCTCAAAAGACCAACTACCAGGAAAGCAAAGGTATATTGTAAGAATGCAACTTTAACAAGCCTGTCTGTTAAATTATCAGCAGCTAATTTGCTGTATAATGGCTGGAATTGATTATTTACTAGTATAGTTAGATAGGTCAATAACCTTCCTATAAACTGAACTGGAATGGTTACTCACTTAACAGTAAGTTTTCCTGGTTTATAGAAAATCTGGGAGACTAAAAGGCTTGGTTTATACTCAGAATTATGCATTCTAAAACAATTTGTTTAAAGAAAATATTTGAACAAGACAGCATGGACTATCAGACAGGACCTCCAGATATGGCTTACAGTAATCGCAAAATAAATTTAATAGGAGGTCTTTAGAAAGCAAATGCTGAATAGAGAATCAGGTATTTAACTTGTCTTCTGAAATACAAATTTATTTCAGAGAAAGAATATAAAAAGTTATCCTTAAGTAGGAGTTTAGGCATCTGGGCAACCAGCACTGACAGCTGCAAAGGAAAGTACCTTTACTACACCTCAACAGCTAATGTCAGTACAGACTCAGGAATACTGTTTCTTCAGTGAACAGTATCTATTGTAACTGATCAATAGCTGGGTGAATTAACTGGTCCACATTTCCTGAGTTTGTTCATGACATAGATATTCTTCAGCTTACTGGACTGAAGATGGGACTCTCCCAATACCACTAGCGCTGGACAATTAATGTCTAACCGATTAGCAGCCAGAATGCTTTTGTATTCCTCTCCCATACCTAACAAGCTAGGTAAGCAGTAGCTTCAACTACTCAAGTAATTCTGATAGCTAACTTATTAAGAAGATACTCTCCTATTGTATTCAAGTCAGAAGACAATTAAGAAATAGCCTATATCCTGCTAACTGAATTTTACAGCTCCTCTGTGTATTTTACATATATATATATAAATATATATATATATTCCAGAGCTCCTGTTATATTTACAACAAAGTAAAGTAATTAAAGCATAATGAATAACATAGGAAAGAAAGGCTAAGTTTTCAAGTTAGACATATACAAAAGTATCACACTACACGAAAAAAGTATATTTGTAACTTTGGGTGTGTTCAGACAGCTACACTAGTTTTAAAACTTTTCTTCTTCAGACACTAGAGCAATACCGAGTATGTGAAACTGCCTGGCAGGAGGAAGTTCAGTAACACACAAAATACAAGTCTTTGTTACGGTGTTCATAAAGCATTCCAGAAACCAGCAATGTTGTAATTCAGCCCTTATTTTTGTTAACCTGATAGCCAACACAAGTAAAAAGCAGCATTTGAGTAAAGTTGAAATGCCGGAATATCTACCAAAATCCTAAAGACATATAATCTAAAAGTGTTTCTAGGCAATCTAAAGTCAGTGATCTCTTACACTGTGAAAGAGAGGTTTCTGATAACCAACTTAGCATGATGAAAAGTTATCTCTTCAACCCTCGAATAACCAAACCTTTAGAAGAATATGTTCTCAGGGGACTTTTTTCGAAAACAGAGGGAGCTGTGGAGCTGTGGTGTTTGGCATGTACTAAAAGTCCTTTTTTTTTTTTTTTTTTTTTTAAAAAGATGAATGTTTTTGCATCCTTACCTTTTCACTGAAACACTCAAGCAAGTCTTGGACATACCCTCGCATTTCTTGCAAAAACTTATACTGTTCACCAATACCCCCAGAAGACCCTTCTAATCTTTCAATTGCCTTGGTAGAATCCTCTCGGCTTTGCTGATGTTTCTCATATTGCTGCCGATTAGCTTTGTGCAATTCTTTCATAGAGTCCAACCTGAAGGGCAACGGATAAATAGCAAATTTACATCCAAAAGTCTGTATATTTCAGACCGTTGAGATATTAAACAGACAGTGCAAGTACCAAGTCTATATATGGGAAATACTGCAAAGACATATTCTCTAACTTTCATTTGTCACTTTCTTCCCCTCTCTACATAAATAGCAAGGCTAAAGGTTTAAATTAATTGCTAGACTATGCTGAGTGCATTGCACTGCCCACTCCCACAATTTTTACAGGAGTTGATAGCACTTATAATAGTGCAAGGCTGGCCCTGAAAGAAAACTGGAAGGAAAGGTTTTGGCAGGGGGATGGTGATGGTGAGAACTATAGCTTATACAAAGCAGTCTTACTCCTCTACTAACTTGATTCACTGTCAAAGGCTGTAACACTACAAGGAGCATACAAACCAATACTGAGGACATGTAAAGTGCAAGTTATTCATTACAAATGATTTCTCACTGCAATTGGGTTGTTCATTCAGTAGGACCTTTTGTGTACCTGACAAGCAGATTATAGTGTTTAAACCAAAAAAACCCTGTATACACTAAAATTTAAATTCTTTATCTCCTGAAGGGGAAAAATCTGATTCACAGTTTAAAAGAATGCAACTTGACAAGCTAAACACCTCGCTGGCCTTTCAATTCTTGACTATAAGACTGTGCAGTGTCCAGAAGATGCAACTCAGACCTGTCTTCAACAAGATCAATGGCCTCATATTTAAAGCTTCACTTCCAGAGAAGCAATCCAAGGAGATTTTCGAACAAAGTGTCAATGTCATCTTCACTTTGAGCTTTTTTTGTTTGCCTTTTTATTTTTTTTTTTTAAATGGATGTGCCAGTCAGTACTTCTCCAGCGATGAAACTCTGTTTGCTCACCGAGACTAAAAGACGCCTGAGGAACAGAAAGCTAGGGGACAGGTCTTTAAGTCTAAAAAGAGGGTCTGTCCTACCTGTCTTTAAGCTGTTTCTTTACCAAATCAATAGTAACAGGAGTCATCTCATTACTGGGAGTTTTGAAAGGAACTGTATTATCTGTTTTTTGAGACTTGGTTTCCGATGATCCATATGCAGCGTAAGTGTATGGAATGCCATATGATGAACCATAAGACAGTGTCTGGTAAGTGTTCTGGTAGTACAGATTATTCACTTCAGCAGGCTGACTTGGTTGAACCTAATGGAAGAGGAAATGCAATTGTACTATATTAGACTTTCAAGAAAGGAAAAACTTCTTTTCTTTCACATCTCAAATGTTATAAAGTGAAAAATGTAAGCAGGTACATTTACAAAATGTACTTATCAAGTGGGTTTAAGTGTAGAACTTGCAACACCTAAGGTGGAAGAAACAAATTCCCTCAGAAGCACCTTCTTAAATGGACAAATTCTTAGTATCATTATAATTATAAATATTTATACTTATAACAAGTTATTACGTGACAATTTTAACCAGCCTGTAACTCCTACAATAACCAAGTGTTTGGGACTATATTAAATTTTGCTAAGACTATTTAACAGAATGACATAGGTTCTTAGAGTCAGTGTGTTTGGTTGTGATTTTGCTGAAATGTGTTTAAAAAACCAACTACTCTCTTCAGCCCAGCAGCAACTTCATTATGAATGCACAGGTAACATATGGTACAACCTGCTACAAATTCCAACTCTACACTGCACTAGAAGATACAGAAACAACAAAGAAACACACACTGCACATAGACTATACAAACCTAATGATAAAGAAGAAGAGAGGTCTCTTCAAAGTGTCATTATCCTAGCTCTGTTTTAAGTTGCAAATAAATGCCGGTTAACAGCACCATAATCAGTATTTACCCAGAACAGAGAGTAATGAAACTGATACCACTGGATACTTAAAATCTGACCTCTCATTTCTCTTTAAAGAATATCAGAAGTTGCACACTAAATTTCTCAGATGAAACAGCCTTCTGTAAACTACTCAAGTTTGTAATGGATTTAGCCAATATATGCAGAAACAAACCAAAAAGAGTTCACAACTAAATACATGCCTGAGGTATGTTGATTCCTTTCCGTATCTGTTCTTGCTCCCATCTACTGAGTTCTTCATCTTGCTCCCCTGCCACCAGTGCTTCATCATCACTTCCCTCAATACCTTAACACAAGTAAAACAGATCGGTAACAAAAAGGAGAAGATAATGTATTCAAAGTAAGGGCCATGAGTTCAAAAACCTGAGAGACCATGCTTCAGTGGGAACATCTCAGTGCATCCTCCTTTCCTCTTCATAAGGAATTAAGGATGCTAGCTTGTGAATTATTATCACAGAGGTTCCACTTAAAAAATCCAATGGGTAAATTTGCAATTAATTGCTGGTAAAACCCTGTAATGTTAAAATCCTATATATCTTACTAATTCTCCTTTTCCAAGAGGTTATTTTACCTGCTTATCAGCAAGAAGAATGCGAAATCAAAGAACTAATGTTTTTCCTTTTCACAACTCTATACTTCCTAAAAAACAAAGTACAAGAACAACACTAATTGAACCTTAGTGTAAGTCTCTACCAGCTTCAGTAGAGTTGTGTGCTTCTAAGCACAGGAACATAGTTTGTGGTCAAAATTTTACACAGACTCCATTATGCAGTACTTTTCCTTCGAAATGGAATACAACTCCAGATTCACGCCTGTTTGAAAAACATGTTATTTAAAAATGTTGAATGGGAGCACTTGCAGTGAAAACAGTGCGAACGTTTATCAGCTGTCCTTCTAAAAAGGTTTTACCTATTTCCTCAGCAATCTTTTGCCTTTGGGATTTTTCCTTCACTGTAAAAACTATTCTCCTCTTCTCGTCATCATCTTCATCATCACTGGCATCATTTTCATCTTCTCGAACAAGGCGGCCTTTACCTGGTTCACTGTCAACGGGGGTAAAGTCTCCAAGTTCACGAGCCATTTGACGCTTTTTCCTAGCGGCATGAATAAAAGCAGCATCTGGAATTTCTCCTAGAGATAGATGTTTGCACCGTTAAACAACCACTGCAACAAAACAGGTATTACGACTTCTTATTACTCATCTCTGCCGCCCTACCAAATCATCTTTGTGAACAGAAAAAAAATGTGAGAGGAAAAAAATCCAGAAACAGAAACATTTGCAAGCAACTTATAAGCTGCACATGCAAACTTTCTGACCAGAAACCCTCAAAGCTGAGATCTTTCCCAAAAAGTCTGGCTCTGCTTCCAGCAGCTCATGTACTGTAAGAGGAGGAGCCTGATGTTCCTATGGGAAATATTCCTAAAGAAACAGCAGCCCTTTACAGGAGCTGACTATTGCAAAAGGAGGAAGAAAGCAAGGTTCTTGACTGTATCACTTCCTGTCCTGATGTTGCTCGCAACTCTTCTTATTTTGGGGGAGCAAAAAACATCGGCCGTTTCAAAAGATGACGACAGCTCAGTGATTAAGAGGACACCAAACTGGACAAAGCTAATATGAGAAGACTGTACAATCGAGGGGAAACACGAAAAGCAGATCTAATTAAAAAATCTAAAATTCCTAACACAAAATTAATGCAACTTACAAAACCTCATATAAAGAATGGTCCCCCAAAATAAATTTTTTGAAACATGAACAATTTTTACCACTACTTTGATTAGGCATGCACGAAAGGTTAAATTTCAGATTCTCTTTATACTTGACATGAGATACTCTATTCAAGCCAGCAATATCTTTACAGATGCAATAACATACATATTGCAATACTTTGCAAATACCCCTAAGAGAAAAAAATGATTTGGGAGTCAACTAGGAAATTCTTTTTCCCTTGAAATATGGCCAAGTCTGTGGACCCAGGACATCTGTCTTCTATTTGGGGAGCAGGCAATCAAGTGTTAGCTAACAATTAGTAAATTAGTTTCAAAAATACTTTCTCAGACCGATTTCTTTGGCCTCAGGGCCTGACTATAACCTCATTAGACAAAATGAGATAGGAAAACATTTGAGACACCTTGCACACCAGTAACTGAGACATTCAAACCAAAGACAGAATTTTAAGTGAAAGCAGTTAAAGTTCATGTTAAGTCACCTATTCCAAACCTAGATTTTCTTACAGTTGTCATCACTTTGAGAGACAAATTCCTGCTTTCAACTGATATCAAGATGGAAGCATTCTGTAGTAAAGCATTGTCTCTCATAAGGCTTGTAAAATTGAACAGCTTTGGAAAATAGCAGTTTCCTGAATTCTCAGATGCTGGATATATTGCTGGAAAATATTTCCTAATCTCTCAAATGCATTACTCTGCTGTAAATGCTGGCTAAACCATTTGTTAACATATCAGACATTACAATAACGAACCTGGGCGGAGAACATTCAGTGATGACAGAGCACTTGAAAAAGCCCCACCAGCTTTTGGTTTTTCTTCTTCCTTCTCACTTTCAACTTCCATTTCTTCTTCACCATGCTCACTGTTTGCAGTTCCATCTTCTTGGCCTATATCCTTAAGCTGTCCTGTCTTTTCTAGCGGTGGTTCGACTGGTAAGACAACAAAGCCCATGTTTTACTCTTTTTATAAAGATCACTTGGAAGTATTTTTTTAAGGTCTAAAAACCAAAAGTAAAAATCAAATGAAAATGTTAAATGATAATTTTATTTTGATATCTAGTGAAATACACCTTCTTAATTGTGATTAAGTCACTGACATCCTCTCAAAATAAAATTTGACAAAGCAGACAGCCCAACAACCACTAAAAATTCTACACATGGCCAAGTATTAAAAAAGTGAGGGAACTCAGTAATTAAGATCATGTGCACAATCTTCACATAGCCTCTTATGTATGTAATTAGAAAGCACCGCCTGTCTTACACCAAATCTTTCCACAAGAACAGACTCATTTCAAAAGAACCCCTTCACTTTCCTCTTGGGCTGGGTGCAACATTACCCTACATTAGGTGGGTAACATATAGATACAGGCAGCAGGTACAAGTATTATGTAAGAAAATGCATGTTAAATCCAGTTACCCAATCCAAGCTGCACATATCTGAGTTTTTAGACTTTAACATTTGTTTAAAGAATCCAGACTACTGACTCAGTAGCAGCCATGAGGTCTTTGCACCATAACCAAACCAACTACAGAGACTGAAAAACAGACAAACAGAAAATGAGCACACACTAGCCATGTGCAAAATGCAATTTTTTAAGGATCTTTGTGACAGAAGCAAGAATTAAGATCCAGGTTTCCACAGATTCCCTGAACATTAGCCACAAAAATGATAACTTCTGGTTTTGCTCATGCTCCATACCACTGCATAGGCAACTTAAAAGATTCTACTAAGAAAGAATCTTTAAGATTTTTAAAAGACTAATTTAATTAACTTAAAAAAGGGTAATCTTCTCCATGGGACCATGTTCAACTCTCATATGCTCCAGCTATACCATTGCAATCTTTAGATCATAAGCCTCTCGGCTTGTATTCATAGCATTGTAGCTTATTACTCTACATAAAAACTTAAGTGGAAAAGGAATCATTATGCTTTACCAGTGAGCTTCCCAAAAACCAATAGCAGAAGTACAATGAAATTGAAATCCCAGGCTCTATTCTAAGCTCTGGAGGACCGTACATTGCTAAAAGATCCTTCTGCTCCAACACTTTCATCCTGTCATCTTAATCATCAAGTCTACTCTAAGGTCCAAGTCCTGAAACAGGCAGCTGTTGAATAATTTACTTAATAACAAAGAACACCACTCTGCTCACCCCACAATCTTCCTTTTCGAAAAGATGCGTTACAAGGACACATCTTGTCATATAGGCACCAGACACCCTTCTAAACTAATTTAATTCCTTCCTAATTCAATTGGAAGAAACTCATCTGACATAAACAGGGCTGAAATACAGAAACTACTGAGGTCTACTGACAACTGTATACATAGCTGAGAAGTTTCATCCTTCTACATTCATTTCCACATGAGAGAGAATCAGAGAACTCTCTACCAGCTTCAGAACAGCATTTGTAAGGTTCAAATGAACACATTTAATGTGCGCTTTAGTTCAGTTCTAAATGCTAAATTCTCTAAAAAGACTAGCAATTCATCTTGAAAACAAGCAATTTGTATTTACAATACTTAATCTTTTCCATTACAAAAGTTACTGTTAGTTTTGCAGTTACCATCTGTTGGAGAATTGACCTCTGTTCTAACTTTTGATTTTTCAAGATCTTCTTTGTATTCTTTCTTCAGTTGTTTTACAATCTTTTTGCTGTAACTTGATTTCTTCACTTTAAAAACCTCTTCAGTTTCTTTAAAAGAAAAGTTGGAAAATATTACATTAGACCTGCCAAGAAGTATACTTACTTATTAAACCTCTTAATTTTGTACCTAGAACTTAATAAATGCCACTAACACCGTAATTTAATATGACTTTACATTTGCACTATTGCAACAAAACCAGTCCCATATCCTTTCATGTGTAGTCAGGTCTACCTCCTCTTCTTGCGGTCATTTTCAAGGGTATTCATCCCGCTCACAGCACAGTCACAGAAATGCAAGGCAGAAGTTACACAGAAGTGTACACACATGGCCTGCTTTCATCTGACTGTAGTAATCTTTTTCTAAAAAAACAAACAAACAAAAAACCCCAGCTGATCCTTCACTGTGACCATGAATTTGGAAGAAAACAACATGAAGCCCCAACATTTTGGGTCAACAGTCTTTTCACAGCCACGTATATACACAACTCATGAGTAAGGGAACGGCTGGTTTCGGTTGTACTGCTAGTTCAAATGCCTGCAGCACTACAACCTACACCAAAAGGTATGCAATAAGTTAAAGAACTAAATTGCACAGAAAAAAATGGAAGCTTGATGTAGGAAATCCACAAGTGTTTGGTTGGGTTTTTTTAAGTCTATATTGTAATTCCATGTTTCCAGTATTTCTGCCAAGATTTCAAATCACTAGTCTTAGAATCCAAGTTCCAGTGATTACAAGATAATTCCTTCTAAGAAAACTCAAAATGCATACTAAGTCTCCTGCTGACAAAAGGTATCATAAAAATAAGCTCCTCATTTTATTCACCCTGAACTTGTGGGATGCAACAAACTCTGGAGTTTGAGGAGTGTTTTTTGATAGTTTTTTGAACATTTTAAATACATAACTATTATCCGTAATCAGATTATCTGAGTGTTAATGGACCGACTCATGAGTGCAATACCTGCTGGAATCAGCAGAATTATTAGCTGAAGCACTGTACAAACACAATTATGCTATTTCTCCAAAAGCTGAAAAGCGTCCAGAAACCGCTCAACTACTTTTTCCACTATTTGTGAAGGTTAATCTAATAAATCTTGTGGATGGCTAGATGAACTAACTCTGCAACAGAACACCAGTGGCTTCACACGGGAGTTTGCTAGGACAGCAGGCAGTCCGACGTGACCTGTGAACACGTCACATCGGATGAAAACAAACTCAACACAAAGCCACGGGAAAGATGCCCCTCAACCTGCTGGGCCTAGTACCTGCTACTGCACAAACCCAGGCCAGGCTAAAGCCCGCACCGTGACCGGCAAGCCACCCAGCTGCAGCGAGCGCAACACGGGGGCAGCAGTCGGGCACCAGCAATACAGAAGCAGAGGCAATCAACCCCCCAAACCGGAATTAAACCCGCGGGACATCACCCCGGTGCTGGGAGCACGCTGGCCCCGCAGGAGCCGGGTCGGGCCCGGGGCCGAAGCGGCTGCCGATGGGACGCTCCCCGCCCGTGCACCCCTGGCGCCCCGCACCGCGCCCCCAGGGCTCTCCCCCTCTCGTCCGACCCCTCGTCAGCCCCACGTCACGCGGGCCAACCCGACCGCCTTAACGAACACACAGAACAAGGGTCCCGGCTCTCCTGGGGGACGAGGGGTGCGCAGACGACGGGCGGAGGCCCGGCGCGGGCTGACCCGCTCCGGCTCCCTTCCACCCCCGCAGGCAGCGAGCCAAAGGCCGCGCGGCCCCGGTGCCCGCCGGCGGGCAGTCCCCCGCCTCACCCTCCTCCTCGTCCTGGAAGCTGAGCAGGCTGGCCCGCGGCACTTCTTTGTTCTCCCGCGGCCGCTTCTTCTCTTTGGGGCGCCCGGCGCCCGGCAGCCCGTTGCCCTGCTGCTGCTGC